GAGTCCCTGGCGCGTTAGTGTTGTTACTGATGGTGCCTTTGGTTACTTGGCCCCAGCTCTCCTGCAGGCATTGACTAGGTCCCCCCGTGTGTTCTGGAATTTTCCCTCACGTTCTTGTATCATTTTGACCCCACGGGGTGAGAAGCTTGCGTGGAGCCCAGATCGGGGGAGATTATCAGTGGTCTTGTAATGTCTTGCCATTTCTAAATAATTTGCTCCCACAGTGAGTGTCTTGCACACCACGGCTACCTATTTGGCAGATTCAGTCTTCCCATGCCTGGTGCAGGTCTAAAATGTTGTTTCGTTGTCCTTGTGACAGCTCTTTGGTCCCTGGCCCATAGTGGAGTTTGGAGTGTGACTGATGAGTGTGCACCGCGCTCTTTTATACTGATAACGAATTCAAACAAGGTGCCATTAATACAGGTTAACAAGTGGATGGACAGAGGAGGCTCTAAAGAAGACTTACAGGTCTGTGAGAAGCAGAAATCTTGTTGTTTGTAGGTGAAGCGAAATACTTATTCCACCATAATATTTGGCAAATAGATTCTTTAAAAAATCGACAATGTGATTTTTTTTCCGCCTCATTTTGTCTCTCATAGTTGAGGTATACCTAGGATGAAAATTACAGGCCTCTCATCTTTTTAAGTGGGAGAACTTGCACAATTGGTGGCTGACTAAATACTTTTTTGCCCCACTGTATGTATATATATATATATATATATATACGTTAAGCTGGCCAAGAGAGTGTTAAATGTTTTATAGTTTGATTTAAAAGATACATTTTCTTTAAAAAAAATTATAAAATACAGTTAAAATGTAAGTATTATATATTCTCATCAGTAAACAATGGTTACGCTCCTAATGTGTCAAGCGATGGTATCATGTGACAGCTGTAATATTGAAAGAGTTTAAGCTTCAATGAGCAATTTAGGAATCATATTCTCATGAACTAAAGCTCCAGAAAAGCTACTAATAGACATTGTGGTGAAGTTTTCTTCCAACCGTTTTTTCCAAGTTCAAGAACTTTTCACTCTGAAGTAAAAATTAATGAGACATGTAACTGTTTAGAAATAAATACTTGACGATCTATAATGCATGAAGTACTGAGCAAACTGTCTGCTATCTGCAGAAATGCCAATAAATTAGATTATCTCAACATTACTTGTCAATTTGTACAGATATCCTCTGCTTTTCCTGTGTCTCCTTCTTGTACAAGCTAGGTTTATTGAGAACACCCCCTTCTATCTGACTGTTCATGTGCATTAATATAAATGGTGTGCAGTGAATAGCAAACTGTGCATGTGGGCCAACCCAGGAGAGGTGACCAGCGTGTGTGCGTGCGTGTGCGTGCGTGCGTGCGTGTGTGTGTGTGTGTGTTTGAGACAGCTGTGGTCCATTTAACCCGTGTGGAGCAGCAACAGCAAATTAACAAAAATGCCAAGCCAAAGGTGTCTCTTTGTTTTGAAATGTTAACATGTTCCTTATTCCAAATGTTTCTACATAATGTAATCAATTATTAATTTCTCAGTTACTAAGATGCTACATTCCACACATTATTTATAAAATGATCAGCAGAGTGTGAAGAAATGATGTGTGCCTACCTAACACATGATGGACCTCATGTAGAAACATTATCTCTAATGTTTCTCCTAAATTAAATCTGCTCTGGCACAAGAATTAGTGAGAAGAAAGGCTGTAAGAAGAAGAAGAACTTCAGCAGTAGTGAGATCGATGTAAGATGAATTATGAATTAAAGGGGACCCATCATGCAAAATACACTTTTTGATGTATTTTATACATAAATATGTGTCCCCGGTGTCGGGGAACTCACACAGCGTCAGAAAATAAAACCCTCTCTCTTTTCCTCCGTACCCGGAGCTGATCCAGATTTGCGTCCGATATGCTATTGCCTAAAAATGGCACGATAGGTGCACTTTAAGAGAAAATAAAGATGTGTTTTTGGGAGATCCAATAGTGACTTAATAGGAAAATCAATAAGCATTAAAGAGCCGAATGTACGCCATTCAGAAACTGAATCCATCCAATATCATCCTCATAGAGATTTTATATTCTTAAAATCTCAATGTGGTATATAGTTATGCATTTCTTTACATTTTAAAATAAAGAAAAATAAGTTTCCTGGCATTGGCACCAACAAAAAATTATGAATTGTTGATACTGAGAGGAAATGTGTTTGTATATTGCTTATTGCATGAGACCCAAAAGGAGGGTAAGTGAACCATATTAATGATTAAAAGGAAGCCACTGTTTTCCTTACCCCAGCAGAGTGCACCATACATTTAGGAGCTCCTGTGGTGCCAGACGAGTACATGATGAACAAAGGATGATTGAACGGAAGCTGCTCAAACTCCAGCTGAGGAAAGTGCTCGGCTTCACCACCGCGCCCAGAAGCCAAGAAATCATCTATAAATACACTGTGAAGATAACAAACAAAAAAAATAGTCAGGGAGGAAATGAAAGAAAACGATCAATATAATATAAGAAAGAAATTATATCTCTGCTCTCGTCATAATAATAAAAAAAAGGGAAAAAACAGTTTTAGCTTCTCAGTTGTATTACTTGAGCGAAGCTGTATTGAAAGACACACACCTGTTGGGGATCTTGGAGAGGTCGATCTCATGTTTGGAGCGAGCGTAGGGAACCACCACCACTTTCTTCAGGTCAGGCAGACCTACAGAGAGATTCAGATTTTTAGATATATTCAAGATACTTTGGTCAACTAAAATATGCTTAAATGTAGAAGGAGCCATAAGACCAGTAGAGTAAAATGAAGTTCCTCTCCTATTATAAGTGTTAAAAATTAGATATAAAATGTACAAATGTATGGTCGGTCACATAGTGTTGGTGCTAACCTTTGACAACACTGGTCAGCTTCTCCATGTGGTCGTGTGTTTTTCCGTTGTAAACCACAGCGGCAACAGAGAAGATCAGCTTGGGCTGGATTTGAGAAAACCTGTCAAGGACACCCTGACACAAAAAAAGAGAGACAGAGGGTTAAATCTTAAAAATCAGAACACTGAGTAAGAAGACGGGAATAAGGGCAGTTCATGTAAGACTTAAAAGGAAATACTTTGTCTTGCTTTTAACATAAGACAAGACAAGACAACATTGTTTGAAAACAAAACAGAAGCATATTCAAGCAGAGAATGAAGGGAGCAATGGAAGAGAACAATGTGATTCAGATGGTGGGCATAAGCTCAAGACAAAATGCATGAGGAATGTAAAGTGTAATTGCCCCTAAAATACCTCTATATTGTTCATCACTGTAATATGCAGTGAATAACTTCTAACTAAAGGTGAAGACATGTTTTTATTTTAAGTGTAGTTCTCTGATCTGCCAGACGACGCAATAGCACACAAGAAACAATAAGCATAGATGAGGAAGACAAAGGAGCAACACACAAACTGATGCTTTATGTTAGTTTGCGTATGTGGGTGGATTGATAAAAGACCATTGACCCAGTATGGCTCAGTACTGTAGCTGGAGCTATGAGTGTTGTTAGGATTAAGAGATAAAGACTGTTGCCTGTACTGCTCAAGATGTGCTTCAGAGTCCACATGCCATGCCTAAACCAGCTGATTCCACAGGTTTATAGAAACAGTTTCTCTTATAACATATAGTGCACAAATAAAGAGTTGATAATACAATGGATTAAAAAACTCAAATATATGTAAATAATAAAAAGCCACAAACAGAATGACAGTCCTTACGTTGACTCCAAAGTCCACAGACGTGGAGCTCCAGATGGCTCCAATGCTGGCAGCTGCTAACATGCCCTCCACTGCATGGATACCATTGGGCAGGTAGCCTAAGGGGCAGAGAGAACAGCAGGGAATGGGTTAAATTCCATTAAACTAGATATGTAAGGTTGTTTCTCAAACCCAACATCATATGTGACACGAACAAAATGCAGATTATTCAGCATGTACAGAAATAAAGTACATCCTTGTTAAAGGAAAGTCCGAAATACCAGGACTTATTCTATTGTTATATTTTTAGTCAGGTTATTTCATATCTAAAGTAAAATAAAGAAATTTGACTTGTTATATGTATTGTGTGTCTTGCAGTATATCACACAGTAGGAAACCTCACTGAGAGAACAGTGGAAGATGGAGGTTGGAAGAAGAAGAGGTAGATATGGAGGAAAAGTCATGTGGAGAAAATGAGGAGAGAGAAAATGAGAATGTGAAAAGAGCGGGGGAGAGAGAGAGAGACAGGTTATGAATATCAAACAGGGCCGTGACACTATTTCATTCTTAACAAGCAGGGCTGAGATCATAACTGCTGTCTCGCTGTGATTTACTCCATGATCAATACAGGAAATGGTGCCCAAGGACACTACACATCTTTTCACTGGACAGACATAGAAAATCACAGGGGTGAAGGGAGAGAGAGAGAGAAGCTTTCAATTCAGCCACTTAAAGCCTACTATAAACTATGTTTAAAGGGGAAGTTATTTGTTTTCAAGTAATACAATAATTGCAAAATAATTTGATATGTGAATAATCGCTTCGAGTAAAAAAACATTTTCGGAGATATTTTAGACAACCAATAGATTCATTGATGTAACTGCAACCCTTCAATCATGGCACAAGTTCAAATGACCTAAATGCACTCGGTAAGTAGAGGAAAGCGGTGGATAGAAGAGGCTCAACACAGGAGCTCCCATATCATACAAACTCATGCTATAAAACCTTCTAATCTAACAAGATAAAACCATAACACAGCCACTGACTGTGAACAAAGGCAACAGTCGCTTCATATGGATATGACTAATAAAGGATTTATTGGTTGCTAGATTAGATTAGATAGAATTGTATTAATCCCGAAGGAAATTCTTGTTGACTCCTGCCGTAACCAGGAAGCTCATCCTGGTAAGGTGACGTCTCGGCTGGCAGATCACCATCCTGATGATCCGGATCTACTGACACTCTCATTATTATAATCCTGTTGTTTGACTACCTCTGCCGCTCCTGCTTCTCTTCAGATCTCTGTCTTTCTACAATGCAACAACCCTGCTTACATCTCAATACAACACACTGCTATTTGATTAAGCATGCAATAAACCTTTTTGTTTTGTTGATAACCACTGAATAAATATCAACTTGCCCTTCAAGACATTCATGTGTATTATAAAATGCATGCACCATATCTTAGCTATTGATCTAACATCTGGCTGCTGTTTATGAAACACAATATAATTTCAAGCACCCATAAAAAAAAAACTGAAAATGCAGAAAATGACTTTGTTGTCTTCTTCCATTCATTTAATAATGGTTAGAAAACCCCGATTTACAACTAAAGGTTTTAAATCAGCTGAGAATAACAAGTGGCGGAAATTCTTCTGGTCAATTTCTGTCCAATTTTCTTTACAATGTATGGAGCAACATTTTGAATTAGGAATCGTGATCTGTTTTACTTCATAGCTGTTTTAATCAGCACTCCCTTTATGTTTGTTGAGACATTACCGCCAGCTAGTTGGTCAACATTCTGAGGACTGTGTGAGGTTTGTCTTTTAAGAGTCCTGCAGCTGATCTAGTTGTTATAAATGCAAAACAAAACAAATCTGAATTACATGCTTTAGTGTTTGCATGTTCACATTTGGAACAACACACTGACCTGCTTAACAACCAAAATGTGTCACATGGTGTCACACGACAGCAAAATGTGTCCTGATAGCTTACAATCTTTCATTTTAGCTCCTTTAATTTAAACGTATACTCCATTTTGGGTAATTTCTACAGCTTAACTATAAGTAGTTTGTTACAAATTACGTGCTAATGCTGTTATAGTTTTGTTTAGTATTACTAAATAGATACAAGGCTATGGCTAGCTACAAGCTTGGAAACAGACTGAATGTTGTAGCTGATAGGACCAAGGAGAAGAGTGTGTGTGTGTGTGTGTGTGTGTGTGTGTGTGTGTGCGTGTGCGTGTGCGTGTGCGTGTGCGTGTGCGTGTGCGTGTGCGTGTGCGTGTGCGTGTGTGTGTGTGTGTGTGTGTTGGCTCCTTTCCTGCTATAAAGCTTGGTCGGCTTAATCAGCTAAGTGCTAATATATCTCCTGGATTACGAAAACTGACAAGAGATTTTAGTTACCACAAGGACATCTATGAGGGGCCGTGTAGGCCAAAATTCTAACTAACCTCGCGCACACACTACTGATAACATCTGGCCTTGCACACACACTACTGAAGACCTCACAGGCTCACACACACACAACTGAAAAGTAAACCTCACACACATACTACTAAAAATGAACCTCATGCACACGCAACTGAAAATTAACCTCAGACACACACTATTGAAATCCTCTCACATTCACTACTGAAATACTCTCACATTCACTACTGAACATTGAAATCCTCTCACATTCACTACTGAAATACTCTCACATTCACTACTGAAGACATCACACACACACAACTGAAAATTAACCTCACACACACACACTCCGCAAAACATGTTACTGAAAGATTCTCAGTAGGGAATAACGGAAGTCATTAGAGGCTTCTCAATACTCTAATTTCCCCTCCTCCACTCCTCGGTCCTCCGGTAGTGACCCGGAAATTGAGTTCAGTGCGCCATGTTGAAGGACATCTAATTTCTCTAAATGCACTTCGAGGACCGAGCATCGAGCATCGAGGAGGCTCTCTGGAGGAGCTATAATCGAGGATACACCGATGGGTCCTCCACGGATGTATTTCCGGCAACAGAGATGTTTCAAAGAGTCGTGACNTGTTTTTTTTAACATTTTCAACATGGTGGATAAATCCTTATATGCTCCCCCGGCAACACACTGAACGTCAACTTTGCCTCCTTATTACACTCACCCCTACTTTAGTGGGAACAATGAGTCTGCGTCTTTGATGCACACAGGAATAAAATGCAGATCATACTCTGGTTGCAGCCTTTACCGGTACTTGCTTTTGATCAAAGTCAATGCGGAAAACCTGCACTCACACAGGTAGGTGGAGGTGAAGGGAATGAGCACTTTTACAGCCTTTTTGGCGATGTGGGGGAACTCGGTCTCCACAGACAGCCACAAGTGGGCAAGTGTCACTTTACTCGTCTTTTTCTCGTTCTTTTGTGTCTCACGCTTCGCCTCCCTTGAAGCTCTCTGGCGCCCCCCAGGGGAGGCACGCCTCACACTTTGAAAACCGCTGGACTAGAGCAAACCACAGTCACTCTGGTTGTTCTCTGGTTAGCATGAGCAGTCAGGTTGCACATTTAAAATCTACCTTTCTGATTAAAGAGAGGTTCTTTTATTTATTCAAAAATGAAAAGCAGCACAACAGACGGACTGAGGTAGAAATGTTGTGTGTTACGCAGCGACTCAGCACCCCAGCTGTGCTTCCTTTAACAAACAGCTCCAGTTTGTGCTGCTGCCAACCCCCTGCCCTGCTGTAGGTGTGTCTTTATTAAATAAACAGTCAGTACACCGAGTAACCCCATATAGCGTCAAGGTAATACTTACAAATCAAATAGAAATCTTGGTGACCTTTAGAGGTATCCTGCTCTTGCCTGCTCTCCACTATAACAAAAGGTCGCTGGAATTTCATTTGTGGAGCTGGTAGAAGTGAAAAATCTAATTGTGGTCCGTTGTCATGGGGACTATCATTGTTTCATTAGCAGAAGTGGTTTCAATGAAAACTCTTTGTGAACACAACATTCAAAACAAAACTGCCTGCAGGGCTAGACGTCACAACTAGTTCAAAGATAAAACAGGTGTCAAAGATTTGCATTAAATAAATATCTGTTGAACATTTGCATTATTAGAAAGTAGGTGTTACTGTTCAGATCTCAGGGAAGTGAGATGCACACCGGCAATGAGCACTTATTTCCATAGGTGTCACCAGATAGTGGAGAGAAACAGTGACAAACATTTATTTGAAACTCTCACCTTGAAATCGAGTGTATCCTAACGTTTCCCCACGGAAACTTTTGTAGTATTTCACTCCGTAGACTATGATGGGTCTGCGAAGAATGTGTGCAAGAACAAAGATGTGGGTCTGCTCCAGGCTGGCCCCGGGCTGAAGGGGGGGGAGAGACACAAAAAAACGTTTTACACATCATCGAGTAGCTGTCGTCATAGCGACTTCCCTCAATCACACATTTAGCAGAAATCCAGTGAAGTGCTGAGCCGGCCGAGTCCTCTGTGATCACATTTCAACACAGAGTGCTGCACTCTGAGAACATGCAGCGCTGCAGCACATTTGC